AATGAACGAGTTTGATAAGTAATTCTCTTCGATTTATTTCATATGTAATGTTCATTGATTTTTAATACAATGCGTAGTGCGTTTCATAATTCGCCATAATAGCCAACCATTAGAAGCACCTCGAACGGCAGAAGATTGCAAAATGACAGGTTTTTGATTATGACAAATGCTTTTATATAAGAAAATTCCGCAATACGTGATACATGAGTTCAATCTTTTCAAGCCTATTATTTACAAAAAGTCATCGCAATTAAATATAATTTGATTTTTCGTGCATTGTTTAATTTGTGTAAAAATAATACTTATTCTACTTATTACTAATAAAGAAATTAATTACGATTTTTCGTAATTTATAAATGAATTACCTACTTTTCAACCATGTATGATATACAGCGACTTACGTAGGTCGCAATGACAAGTTGAAAATCGCAAGGAAGTAAAGATAAAATATAATAATAATAATAAAACGCAATTCTGAAAGAGATCACATTTGATACAGTTCCACTAATAATATCGCCCTTTGAGGCGCTTCGCATCGCTGAATTTTGACAATAGACATTGTCCTGCATAATCCGACGAACACAATTAATTTGGGCGAATATAAGTAATACAATTCCGCAGTGACACGTCTTTACAAATTTCTACATGACTACGATCAACGTAAAAGAATTTCGAACAAATCAAAATATAGAAAAAGGACGTTGCGCTTCTACTGTGTATCGCAAATGCGCAAAAGTAACATCTAACAGGGGTTCGAGGACGAGCTGTATATCTTGTAACGAAGTCACAATTTCTACTTTTAATCACGTAAAATTATATTCGTAATATCGATTCTTCGTGATATATAATAAAACTCTGCCGACGCGAAAAGAGATTTAAAAAAAATCAAATAAATATTATTTTCACGCAATAACTAAAAGTGATCAACTCCATTTCGCTTTTAGTAGTGAATATAAATTCAAAAAGAATATTTTAAAAAGCAATTTGTTTGTTTCATTATAAAAATTCATACGTAAATATTCAAAATATGCGTATATTTTATATGTATATTTTCCCGTAAAAATAAGATAGAATTGATCTGTGCACAAAATAGCGCGAAATTATCTGAAATACACTCTAACAAATGCGTACTTTATTTACGAAATATTATACAGTTTAAATTGGTTATACAGTTTAAATTGGTAACCAACATAAATTAAAAACTAAAATGGGAACTCGACGTGATCCGATGTCGTCGTGTTATGGCAACGTTGTGCTATTTTTTATGACGCGATCTCAACTATGTAAGTGTCAATCACTGCGAAATCGAAGGCATGTCTTTTGTGCGTATACCATGGTCTATTACGACGTAAGCAACAAAATGCTGCTCTCAAATAAGTATGCGAAAGAATAATAAAGAAATAAGTGGAGAAAGAAAGAAGATTAAAAGCAAAATAAATATCAAATAAATAATTAGAACTGCAATAGAGAGATTGACTGAGTTCCCAATGTGATTTGAATTACCTTAACGCAAAATAGACAGCCACAGCAGAGTACGATAAAAACAGATAAATGAATTTCAGACTGTCATAATAAAAACAAATCAGCACATCGGCATTTGACAAAAAAGTCATTTATCAAAACCACTGAAAACGAGCCAGAAATTTCAAAACTAAAAATTAAAGTGAGATTCTCGTGTATAGATGTTGGCAAAAGACTGTGCATCGCTTTAACAAAAGTTTGATGAAGATACTAAGATGCACATGTAAAGAGAAATACAAAGAAAGCGTTCTTCGTTACAATACTAATTTATGGTAATTCCTGCCTTAATCTCGCTGGCGAAGATTACTTAAATGAAATTCGTCCTCGAACGTGAATGTGAGAAAAGATATCTTTGGCACAATAAATATGAACGTTATAGTTAGTTCGCGTGTCGGTCAATGCTATGCTGTTATCGCACTGGCCGGGCCTCTTAATTCTCTCTTTTGCTTTTTCGAGCCACGACATTTGAGATCTTTCACGTTCCTTCACGCTGATACGAAATGATCACATCGATCGAAATTAAAAGATCATCGTAACGTAGACAATTATAATTAATGATATTAGACTTAGCACCTAATGGGGTTATTCGCAATTAACGGTTCGCAATTAACTATTCGAGAATTTCGATAACACAAAGTACAGAAGTCCTTTCTGCTTGGCCTAGGAAAACTAGAAAAATCACCGATTCATAGCGCATTGACTACGAAGAAAATCGTAGGATTTAAAAGATTCAGAATGCATTGCACTGACGCTTACTAAACGAGATCCAGAAAAAATTATAGAAAGAAGTATCAAGAGACAAAAATATTTTTAATCGGACTTGGCTGAGTTTAATAAAAAAAATTTTGTTTTAACGTCATTAATATTTACGGTTTCCGATTTCTATCTGTACTGCAAAACAATTTACAATATGTCGAGAAAATTTCATTGTAATAAATCGAAAGTTCCCTTGTAGTGCAATTCATCCTGAAATTGAAATCATGAAACGCTTACGTATACCAGCTTGAACACCTAGGCCTCGAGGTCTAAGTACAAAAATAATCGTATTTAATCATAATAATAAATCGTGATCGTAAATTAATACACAACAATTTGCGCTTTAATTACTTAATTAAACGTATCGATCGTATATAGCATTTCAAGTGATCGCTGTGGTTACAAGTCTAATATTATACAATTGATACGTTTAACACTAATCATTATGCGTTGACTTACAACTATGATTTACTTTTTATGACTAACAATAAGACTATCTTAGTACTTAGGCCCTTACTCGTGCCTTTAATAACGTACTTGACACTTATCTGTAACCAATCGCGATTCACCATCAACATCGGCAATTAACGATGCCCATGTCTCGTGATCGGTAGCGATCGTTAGCAATTATCATTTGCTAATTTGAAAGTTCCTAACTAATCTTCTGCTCGTGCAGAGGCTTACTTATCTTTTGACGCGACATTTCTTTGGAGGGGAATGAGACATTACTTTTGCGAATTACAAGTACCGAATATCAACCCTCAAGTATATATTTTTTATAAGTACAGATATTTTTATATAACAATTTTTATTCTTAGGTTTATTATGTAAAAACGTATACTAAATAACACAAGGATAATAATTATATAAAAAGGATCCCTTATAATATTATAGCAATTAATTAAAATGATTATCAATATATTAATTAATTTTTTTTCTAATTAATTTATTCAGACAATATCCGATTATCTAATTTATTAATTATCTTGGTCAATCAAATGAACAATTTCTTTCGTACATTGGGAAATATTTTCTAAGAATAAGTTGATTTAAAAAATTATTATATAATATAATCACAATAAGAAAATTAATATATAAAAACATATTATTTAAGAATACTTCAAACTCATACACAGTTCGATTATCCAAGATAAAGTCAAGATTTTTCATTGGAAATAACTCCATTCTTGGATTAAATCCTCGACTTGTTCTAAATTCAATTAAGTACAGGATCTACAGTCAGCAGTCAATAGGATATACTTGAGGGTTCGATACAAAATATAATATCTCAAAATAAATGAATTCATTTACGTATACTATTTCCGTTTAGAGCGAGTAACGATAATTATGAAGCGATCGAAATGAAAAATTCGTGTAACGCAGATATATTTCTTCTTTGGAGTGCTCGTATTTACGAGTTGCCAGCCTAGTCTATAAATTCAGCTTGTGGCGACGCATGCATGCGAGATATTGGATCACGGATATACAGGACTACACTATTCGAAAGCTCCGACATTTTTAGCAGCCTAGCTGCTAGCGAAATAGATCCTTAAGACTGAATGTCCATTAGACTCTCTTTGCTTCTTTGATCAGGATTTAATTATATATTCTTGATAAAATTGGATCATTTAATTTTATATTTTATGATAATTAAATGATATTTGAAAATTTTAAGTGGATACAACCTAAGGATCTCGATAGGTCCTTCCAATATCTCCAAATTTCGTCTAGCTGTTCTATAAAATATCCACCTCGTTTTCATCCCGAGATTTCGAAGGACCTGGCTGCAACTACGAGCAAAAATAAGCATTATCGTGTTCGTTTTTTCGATATAAAATTCGTTATATATCTAATTAAATATGTCATGGTTGATCGCAGTTACGTTAAGTGCGCGAATTCGTGCCTATCTGAGATTCGCGTAGCGAGTTTGAAAGAAATCCGTCGCTTGGTATTAACACCAGAAAATTGCTTATCGTGCGAAAAGACACAAAAAAAGAGTTTTCTTCCACACAGATTAGCTTGATGTGCGATCGACCATTCGACGAATCGCTCTTCGTGACGATTTCAAAAGTGATTCGTCGGAGCGTTCGTACAGACGTGGCGACAAAGCGACTTATTGTCGGTTTGATAAAGAATCACTTCAGAAACTTGTATTTCTAAGAATGATTCTCGAACTAGTTGCGAGATAATCTGGATACCGCAAAAGTCCCAAAATGTCCCCTAGACATTCGAAAAATACGGGCATCTTTCAGACATTTAAAGGACATTTTATGGATCAGAAAGTGCTTTAAATACCTAAGATTCATGAAAGATCACGTTTTTTAGATATCTAATGGAAGTCTAAAAGACTGATATCTCTTTCTGACGTCTTTCTTATGTCTTATGTTTTTCAGCTGTGTATATCATCTGAAAAGTCTTTATTTGTTTAATATTTAATAATTAAGTATCGCTATTAAACCTAAATCCTAGTTTTCTTCCGAGTTTTGATTTTAATCCTTAACTGAGGAGGATGGGAGAGAGTTTAGAGATATCTAAATAATCTGCTATACAAAATTTATATATGAAATTATTTGAAATTTCTAATTCGATTAAAAATTCTATTCTCTTTCAACTATTTGATGAGATTGAACGCTATTTTTTAAATCAAATTTAAAAAATTTCATATATAATTAGTAAAATTATATAGTCAGATCAGTTAAGGATTGACTAATCAGCTCGCGTGTCAAATTGCTGATCTGCGAACATATCGTTTACGCTGAAATTGAAGCGACTGAACAAATTTCAGTTCAATCTTTACGATTCGAAGGAAAGGAGAGTTACGTCGAGCTCCTCATCTGTCTCTGTCTAGGAGCACATCTTAAGTGCATTTCGAGCACATCCGTCGCTGTCACCTCGCTCGCAGTTCATCCTCACCTCTTTGCCTCTTCCTACCCGAGAGGAAGATGGACTCCGGATTCTCTCGCTAGGCGACCCCGCAAATTAGATAGTCTGGCGCTAAGCAGGCACGTGGTTCGGCATACTCGAGGACGTCTGTAAGGGTGAACGTGTTTGGTGAAACCTCAATAGTTCGGACACAGTGACTGCGACACGTACGACCCCGCGACCTCCCTCCAAGACGTCGCTGGCACAGCATATGAGATTCTGAAAAATTAACAAGAAGCGTCTTTAGCATTTCTGTTTTCTTGTTGCGCAAATATTTTGATTTGTCTTAAATAAAAATGCGCGATTGATTTAAATTATAATCTAAAAACAATATGACGAAAATACATCTAAAGGAAAAAGAAATATTTAAAAAATACCTTACCGTCAGAAAGTTTAAGACTTAGCTTTTTAAAGACTTAATTTTGTGTTCTTTTTATTTAAAATATATGCAAGTCCAATTTTTTTTTCACAGCATTATATGACCCTGAAGATATAATAATTAAATAAAAAAACAATTGCTATTTAACTTATTTTATATTAGTTTTATTACTATTATACTTTTTTTATCATAAATTATATCATTAATTAATTTTAACATAAATTACGTGTTTTAAGATTATACATTATACATATTATTACATTGGTGGTCCTAAAGTTTTTGACGATAGTATATATGAAAAAAGCTTTAAATTATACATTTTCATTTTTAAGTTTATGGTATTGCCTTTATAGACTTATATCGAAATATTCTAGAAGATGAGAAATATCTCCTAGAGAGTTTATTTTGATTAATATATGTATTATAAAATAAAAATGTAGAATAAAATATTACGAATCTCTTACCTGTGATCAATATAAATTTTGAAAAATGTCTTATCAGGCGTTTAGGCGATATCAGAAGTCAGATGATGAAACCTGATTTTTTTATTTACAAGAAAATGTTTGAATAATAAGCGAATATATAAATATATGAATCGAGAGAGATAAAAGTGAGTTTAGATAACAGAACACATAAAAAAAAGTGCAAGTTCAAACTCAATCAAAAAAGGAAACTTTCTCTCTAACGAGAGTATAAAAGCTTTTTGAAAATATTAAAATAATCGGTAAAAATAATAGTTTAAAGTGCGTTAAATTTTAAAGTAAGGATTATATTACAAAAATTTGTATAAAAACATTTGCAACACGCAATAAGATGAAGAAGATAGTATCGAGTTTATAATTTTTCTAATTAATTATGTTCTATTACTGAATGAACGTAATAGTTTAAGAAAAGGATGTTTTATTATAAATGGCTATAGTATTACAATCATTATGTTTTTTATCCATACAATCAACGTTACAGAGAAAGGAGAAAAACAAGGTTAATGGTATCCAAGTGGCGAAATAATTAAAGAGATTTTTAGTCGATCGATTCGACGGAAATCAAAGAAAATATGCGATGATTGTCTCTTCGCATTATATTTCGCCACTAGGACCGTTCTCTCTAATAACAAAACGTTAGAGATGGCGGATGAGTGTCGCATATAAGTAATTTATAAATAAATTAAATATGAAAGACAGAAAAACAAAATACACTGCGAAACTTGCGAGATATGATATCTGCAAGATATCGATCTATCTGCAGATACATCGGTGGTTCGATCGTAATTGTTGACAGCGTTGTTTTGGGTCAAATAATTGTACTCGTTAAAATTATTTAGGCAGTATTCGACTAATAAACGCACGTATTTTCTGAGTACGTTAAGTACAATATTTTATTTAAAAATTTAATTCTAGAGTCATTGGATTGTCGTTTACTGTTATACACGTTTTTATTGTATAATGCAACAAAAGTAAACTTACAATCAAAAATTTATAGATTAATTTGAAAGTAATAGGATTATTAAATAATAATTACTAATAGCAGTTAATTTAAATTTTTTAAATTAACAATATATAACTTATATTTTATATATAGATGATTTTATATATAGTATGATTTTCGATTGAAAATTGTTGCCAAATTTCTACCTTGAAAGAAACAAATTTAGAGAAACTTAGAAGTCAAAGCGAAAAATTAATAGATACGTATTTAAACAAGATTTTATAATTCACTTCAGAACAATTTTCAAATATTTACTAATATTTTGTAAATATCTACTAATATTTTGATTAAAAAGATTATTTTTTCTCTTTAATTAAATGCTAATAAACAATTTCTAATAGATGTAATGGAAATTAAACCCGATTTGAAACATTATAAATATATTGTGCGTATATTTTTCGAGATCAGTTGTCGCCTTATATGCAAAGATCGAATTAAAATAAATCGATCAGAACTCGGATTCTGACCCCGCTTAGGCCACATATCTATTCAGGAAAGAATTATTGTCTTCAGCTCAGTGAGCAGGTATGATCGATCGTGCAAGTACGAAATGTTTAAAGAGACGTCGCGGAATAAATATAGATATGTATATAAATAGACAAGAGAAGCTTTAAAAGCTTACGGAAACAACAATGGACGAAAATACACCAAGCACCAAATGGATTTATCGAGCTAGCGAATAATTTAATTGACTTACATACGTTAACATTAAAAAAAAAAAAACAGAAGAAAAAAGGTCAGAAACGATGTAAAAGAACTAGTTTCAACGAACTATATATCTATTTTCATATAATATATCTATCTCTATATATATATATTTCTGCATATATAAGCTTTCTCTCTTCGCGTACTTTACAAAAATTATACACATAAGCTAAACGCAAACGGAATGATTTCGTATTTTTCTCCCTTCTTAAGTATTTCTCTTTCTTTTTTGTTTCGTGAATATGCTTAATAGCGATATAGCCTCTTGCAAAAGCGAAAGCTGTTGGTAAAATTTCACTGTTACGATCTACGAGACTGATACGATTGGATCCAATTGAAATTCAATACAGAATTTTACTCTATACGTATAAAATGTTGATTTTAATTTAATGATCGATTTTTAACTGGCCACTTTTAATAATTTCTATAATAGCTACATTAATAGCATCATTACAAAATCATTGTGCCGGTCCGTTTGCAAAGATAAGATTTAGCATATCTCTCTAGAGCAATTACGTACATCGTGGACCGTTGTGCTAAGCAACTAATGATATAAAATGGTATGTGCTAAATTCGAATCCAGTCTTAAATTGTTGAGAATACTACTCCAATACTTCGACATCTCGTCCAATTCTAATGAGAATAATACTGACGTGACGTGGCGACCATTCGTATTCGCGTCCCCGCAAAGGATCATTAGGCATCCGTCGTAATGATCGATGATTAAACGTAATGGAATATCCGAATGATGACTTGTCATCGTCCGGCTGTTCATTCATTATTCCATAATGGACGATTCGCTCGTTGGATGTAAGCGCGGAAGTTATTAGCGAACCGCCTAATTATGCGTTTAAGATTCGGAACGCCCGGAGATAATAATTTGTCCACTGACGGTGCAATTTAACTTACGGTCGACAATTGCAGTTGAAAGCTTCTGACATTCTCGTCTTTTTTTTTTTAAGAGGCATTACTACAGATACTATCGTTAATCATTTGACTGTGTATCATTATTTTTATATATTATTAGAGTAACGTGGATTGTGTGTTAATTTTTAAAAGAAAATTTATAGAAAAAGAAAATGCACACGTAAATTTCTCTCTCGATAATTATTAGTGTTCAATAAATAAATGTAGCGAAGTAATATTAAAGCGAATAAGATTAAAAAAGGAACCGTTCGAAAGATTAATTATACAATATTCTGTACAAATAAATTATACGCAAGAAATGATGCTAATAAGATATAAATTAAGGAAGGTAGAAAATGAACGCCGGGCGTTTCAGTAAATACAACATTCCTTTAAATTGACTAAACTGATTATTGCGGTTAAGTAATGAGTAGTAGCTACGAAATCATCAGTTGCAAATGAAATACCTAGAAACCACAACAAATTGCTGTCGCAGACAAAAGAAAAGAAATGCAAGGGGAGAAAATAATCTGACTAGAACGGAGATAGTTCGACTTATAACTAACGATACTATTGTTGTAGACTAGAAAGTGCAAAACCCACTTGATTACAAACGCGAAAATGCAATGCCGCTTAAGCGTGCATCTCCTGCAAAATCGCGAACTGAATCCGAGTAGTCGTAAGATATCATGGAAGATACGGCTCACCCTTGCAACCCCTTAAAAAACTACACTGGCATGCTGCATAGAGTAATGCACGTGTCGAATTCGCAACGATACACGTATAAATATTATGCTTGTATGATAGTCTCTCGAAATATAGAGTGGTCATCCATTATAAGGTCCACTTACGAAATATGTTACGAAAAGAATTCTACGTCTCTTTTTTTATGAAAAATCTTCCAGTCCTTCTCTGAAAGACCTTCCACACAAAAAGAATGATTCTGCTAAAGTATCTAACAATTTAGCTAAATACAGATCTGAAAATATTTATTACATTATCGAAATAATTATATAGAATGCTTCAGCTTGTTGTTAATATGTCAAAATTTTTTGTCTATGTTTGAATTGTTTGTACATAACAATTTCCATAATTCAACAAAATTTTCAGATCTGTATTTAATTAATGTTTTAATCTTTTGCAAAATCGTTCTTTCCGCAGTTATCAACAATTTTCACGCTCGACTTAAGCGTTCCGGTAATTCGTAAGATTAGTTATTTCACATCAAAATCTTTTCAACGACCATAGATCTTGTCGGAAAAATGAAGTAATGCCGTATTCAATGGAATATGTTGAGAAGTTTGGCACTATCTTAAGTATTGCGGTGATTAGTATCAAAATTATTATTTAAAAAGCCCACTGTCTATCAATAAACTAGATGTGATGTTGTAGATAGATGTGCTGTTTTTTTCCGACAAAGATCCCATCTTACAAATCTGAAAGATATTTTCTTAACATTAAAGTATAAGTTATACGCTTACACATATTATAGACGATATTATGCCCTCTACGTTTCTATCAAGTTTTTATGAAAATAAATTAGCAGATAGCAGGCACCGTGTCTCTACCATCGTATATCGCTGTCACTTTGATCTCGATTGATTGCTTTTTCGTACTATTTTTACAGCTATGGCTAATTAGATACTGTAGGAAATAACTATCTCAAAGTTTAAATCGACGTACTTTTTGTTGAAAAGTTGAAGTGTCCATATAGTTTTTGTTAATTAAATTTCGATATTACAATTACAATAGAATCAGGTCAAATAACTACTATAGTTAATAACTACTATAATATTAATATAGATACTTGAGTTTTACCATGATTTTGAAATTTCGATGGGAAATATACTTTTCATATTCATATCTTTCAAATTCCAAAATTCACATTCCTTATCTTCCAAAGCATTGGAACTCGAGTAAAATTAATGCCGAGATCAAAGTAACATTAATTTGAAATAAGTTTTTTTAAACTATAATCAAACAATCGACAAAGTATCAAAGAGTACTTTGTCTTGTTTCTTTTATCCCGAAACGAAACATTGTTTCTTGTGCTGGACAAATTGACAAAGAAAACAATCGAACTATTTATGAAATTATATACGAATAGGGGAAGCAATAATTTACGGATGAATATAAATTTCATCACCATTTTTAAACCCTCCTTTGTTATACCTTACATTACCAAAATAGAAAATCCTAGAACTGAAAGAGATTCCCTTAGCACCTTTTCGTGAATCCTGTAACTCTCAGGCTACCTATCACAGACCCACCAATCTTGAAAAAGCCGCAGGCAGTTTATTGGTCGAATCTTAAAAAAATATTGCCGTCGAAGGCATCGTAGCTATCCTTCCCTTCACTCTTTCTTCTCTTCCTGAGGGACAATCGCAGACCCAGACGAAAAAGATGATGTCGCAATATCAGTTAATTGGAATTCTGAGGTTTTCATCGTATACAAGGCAATGAATACTTTCCGAGAATTCGGAAAGTCAAACGGGATATACGACTCTTATACAATTCTGGGACGAGTATTGCGCATCAACTTTTGATTTCGACCATTAACCTTTCATTTTCTTTTTATCAAAATATTATTTCATCGATCTAGCCGATGACAGCCGACTCATACGATTACAAGCGGCGATCATATAACTGGTTCATTCTGTAAGGTACATTCACAACTAAACGTGATATGCGAGCGCCTTCCACTTTGATTGCGCTCTTTGATTTTATGTTAATTCGTAGTAAGCTCGGAAAAAATTAACGAGCACATAGAATACAATAAAACTTCGTATTTTGCAAGGGACATTATTACGTAAACTTTCGCTGACATTCCCGCTTGCAATTATCGATAATGAAGACTTTTTGAAACAAAAAAGGTACAGACTTACATAATATTTAGCCGATTAAACATTCCATCGAGCTATTTATCAACATTATCAAAAACTACCTCCGAAAATTCTCCGCTGACTGCAAAATTCCTCGCTTATATGCTCGAGCGAGGAAAGTTACGTGAGCGTAGATCAAAAAAGCGAATAATCTTGTTAAAGCTATTATTGTGATGAATAAGTTCTTGAAAACTAAGTACTTTGCGACAATTTCATATACGACAAAAGATATGTTCTGATATTCTTTAAAGCGTCCAGATGCGGCAATAGCGAACCGTTTTTTAATCTGTATCTTCTTCGAAAGACACTTTAAAAAATTACAGAGTACTTTGATGTCGATGATGACTCTATAGTGTTATGTTACGTAAACATTTAGACTGTCTTCTTAGAAAAGAAACGTGCCGCATCTATCAAATATTAATGCACATTTTTTCTTCATTTAATTTGGTGAACATCATTGAGAATTTTCGACATCAAAGTCAAATCCGACACGACACTTTTTTGAATTTTAATAAATACAAGTATGAATAAAGTTTACGAAAATAATATATAGCTCTAAAGATAAAATGTGAAACATTGGAAGTGTCGTGTGCATCGTTGTTCGAACGAGACGGTTCCCAGATTTTATCAAAAATAAAATTAAAATTAAGTAAAAAGGAGACTCTGAGAATTGCAGCCTCAAGATACCGTAGTTTCCACTCTTTCTTCTCCTTCTTTCTTAATTCGTAGATCCTTTTCGCAATATCGTCTCACTAATCGGGAATTGGGAATAGATAGAGCAGAACTAGGGCGGATAGGAATGTGGCAAAAAGCATCGCGGATAGAACGTGGTCTTGAATCGTACGGAGTGAATCTGCGGCCGGCTCTTCGGTGCCACTCTCTCCCTCATCGCGAACAAGGAGAAGAGCAGTGACGAGACGCGCCAAAGCCTCTAGCCCGTACGCGTCCATGTAACCCACGTCCATGATTGCGTCCGCGTCCAATAACACCTCCTGCAACACCAACAACGATACTACTCAGTCCCAGTTTTTATTTTATCGCACTGCGAGAACATTTCTCACGTGGCCTTAAAACGCATATCTCTGTCCTCTCCAAGGAAGGCCCTACTTTTGTACCAATGAGAAAAGAAGCGTTCCTCGGGGGATAGCCATTCTGTTACACTCCGACTTGTCACTATGTGATAAAAGGAAATCGTTTGTCTTCGCAAAAGAACTTTTGATAAAGTTGATTTATTTGATTCTGTTTATCTTTAATGAAATTTTTGTAACAATGCTTGTTAAAATCGATTGTAATCAATTTATTCGTTCCTTAATGATCAAAAGTTCCATCTAGAAAACAATTAAGGGAGGAAGAATGGATAGGAAAAAGCAATAGTAACATAGTAATATTTTATATAACAATTGATGAAGAATTATTTGGATTATTTGTATAGTTTAGGATAGTTAGTCCATGGATGTTAATCGGTAAGATATTCGGATGATGGCAGGAAAGGTGAGAACTCGAAGTACAGACTGTTCCCCGAAGAAGCAACACAAAAGCGAACTGAAATCTATAGGCACATGCAACTAAAGCTTCTTCGCTAATTCATTTTTCTTCTTTTCTGCACTTATATTTTTATAACTATACCGTATGTTTTCATAAAATCAGTTTGCAATTCGCTCAAAATCAGTTCGAATTCGGGGACTGACTAGTAGTCGTTGAAAGTGTCATCGAGAAGTGACGGCTAAATGCCGAAGAGTTAGTCACGATGTACACAGACGTTCGGTTACGAATAATGTGCGATAAATTTTTCCGCCCGACTTCACCAAGTATATTCGATCTGGTCTAAGGATAACGCTTGATGAGAATAACTGATAATTGTGCTTTGTAAAGAGTTAAGTTTTCGCACTGAGTTTCGTAACCAGTTTTACAATCTATTCTTCAACGAAGCACGCACGGTCGATCAATTACTATCATGATTCTCTTGCCACATCACCATTTGTTAAAGAAAAATTAAAAACACATCGGATTAATTTATTCGGTATGGAAGTATCCACCCTATCAACATGATGTTGTACACTAATGATGAGCGTGTCTCATGCATGTGTAGTATACTCTGAGCGAAAGAGAAGCACAAACTTCTTTGAAATTATTTAACAAGAAGAATGTTTCTTACCTCATCAACGCCAATCTTCCGACATGCCTCGAGAAAGTTGTCAACGTTACGCCTGCATCGTGCCATTGTCAGCTTAGGCTACAAAAAAAAAGTTAAATCAGTCCATTGATACATGGAATATATCACAAAATGGAATATATCACAAAAAATACTCACTACAGCGGGAGAAGGAACATGTATACTAGCAACTGATCGCGGTCTAACGTGATTCGCCAGATGACAAAGAACAACACCATCCGTTAACGCTGGTGCGAGATCCTCTGGCAATGCCATCTTCAATCTTGTCTCTATATGCTATTATAAATATATTCTCGATTATATTATAAAGCCGCTTTTCGCAAGTAATTCCAGTTATTTTTCGTTATAATGCTTACATTTCGTAGTTGTTCGATGAGATCAGCCTCTTCTTTGGCACGTTCAAACTCTCTCCTCATAGTAAAGGAATACTTTTCAGGCACATTACTATTCCATGTGACGGATCGCGGGGATTTCGGACTGCCGCCGTTTCTACTGGGACTGTTGTTGCCTAATAAACATACGTATACTATAAGCATATTGTGTAATCAAAGTTCTTTCTTACACTGCATGAAATGTATAAGAAAAATTTTTGTAAAATATAAAATTGCTCTTATACATCAACTGCAAGTGTATTTATCTACAAACAAATTTATAATTTCCTTTTTAATTTTGTTTAAATGATTACCTTCAACGTAACCAACAGCGGTTTTCACCAATCTGGGCGCATGCGCTGGACTCGTATTCGTGGAGAGAATACTACTCGAAGTTTTAATAGGCGAGCTAGGTTTTTTATAAGGTTGCTCAAGATATTTTCCGTTTTTATTATTGTAATCGTTATTACTACCGTTGATAATTGGAGTGCTTTGGTAGTTTATTCGCGACGGAGTAACTTTCTGCACTGGCCTCTTTAATGCGTTATCTTCGTTGAAGATTTGCTTGCCAGTTAGAGCAATGGTTTCTTTATTGTTGCCCATGTCGGTTTCGTTTTGCATCTCGTTGCCTGGAGGCGTCACTTGCTCGCGAGGTCTGTATACGCTTAGACCTTCGTTAGCCCTCTGCTGCTTCAGAGCTTCTTTGTACTCCCTAAGAATAAAATAGTTTATATCAAAGCGAACAGTGTCGTAGATTGCATAAGAACATAATATGAAACTTTCACGAATTTATTTGATGATCTTTGGCGAGTATGATTGAAGCAAGACAATGTATAAAATACCGAAAGCGTTATTACAATCTCTTTCTCTCACAATGTATTAATCCTCTAATTTGTAATACTTTAGAAATAATTTTTATTGACTAGATATTCCTCAGAAGACAATTAATTATATATCTAATAATTTATATATCTATATGTAAATGCAGCATGTACATTTTATATACAATACATTTTTTTTTTCTTAAACCTTTGTTGCCACTCTATATCGTTTTATCACGTACTTACCATATCGATACTGTGTAAAAATATTGCATAAAAATGTAACAAATTTTTTTTCAATTGAACGTCAAACATTAAGAAATATAACGATAGCAAACAAATGTAGATATCTATTAATAAAAAAATTATAATATATAAATTGAAAGAAACCTCAAGTATAATAAGAGTGATACCGAAGAGTTAAATATTTAATTATAATCACAAATGCCCGTCATTTAGATACTAAAGAGGATTGATACGACAAGGTCAATCATAGTTGCTCAACGCATGTAATACGTGACAGCATTACCAGGCGCGCCTATTATAATCATATGAATGAGTAAATGAGTAACGTAAACATGATAACATGAGATAAATTCGGACGGACAAGGGCTTTTGTTGGTAAGGTCCAAAGCGAAGTTACCTATACGTCTGTATATGATTGAACGGCCTCTTATCGTCGCCGTTCATCATTGCAGCGGTACCCGTTGCAGTTTGAAGCGGGTGTACTGATTGCTGTGCGGATGATATCTGCTGCGATTGACTCGTCAAATGCGTGGACTCCAGATGGCTGTAAAAAGGGATTGCCAGCCACGATAATGCACATGCACGCATGCAAAAATATACGTATATGTATATGTATGTAAACTACCGTGACAATTTGTATCACAATATCAATTGCAAACATCGAGGGAACGCGCTCGTTTGTTTCGAGGGAAAGCACGCGGATCGGGTAATTGACCCATTGATCATCTTAGCGAGAGGCTTCACTCACCCAGGTGGCGTAATCGATGTGTGATGAAGGCCGGAGATCATTGGTCTTCTAATGTCTGCCCCATTCTCCGACGTACTCCTCTCTAATCTCCTCTTTTCCAGTTGATCGTGCAGTACCATCGCCTGCAAGAGATTTCGTATGAGAACGTGAATTATAACTTTTGATACTTCATAAGACGTCTTAATAATTAAACGGGAATAGTTTTAAGTTTAATATTATTTTAACTTTGTCTTTTTACTTTTTATCTTAGAATTAAAAATCTTTATTTCTAGATAAGAAATAATATTTTCAATTAGCGCTCTTAATTAACGTTATATTTTATCATAAAATTATGTTTTGTCAATCACTTTAATTACAGATTTTAATTATAGATTTCAAAATGAATTCTTGTTTAAGGAAGCTCAGTTTTCAGCGTATAAAAGAAACAGTAAATATGAGAAAGCGATTTCGCCATACATTAAGTATGAACATTTATTATTGATGCAGCATGCTTTCGTAATTTTGAAACGTCGTTGTAAATGATGTTTTATTGGGTCAAGGCTTTATAAGATTTGAGCGACAGCCAACAACGGTTTGTCGACTACTATCATTATCGTAGCTCGACTTGAGATCTATTCGGCAGCTAAATATAGCGGCTATGTCATCCTTTAAATTCCGCACAGTTTATTAAACACTTATTTTAGACAGAAATCTAAATCGTACGATTAGCTCCTGATAATAATAACAAATACATTTTTTTATCTTAATCAATTATCAGAACTTTATCAGTCTATGCTCCTATCTTTTATAGAAACCTGAGTTCTCCAGTTGTCATAAAAGTTAATTATTTTAAGATATTACAATCTAGTTTTAAATCATTCGTATGAATAAAAATCAACAAATATAGCAATTGACATTTGCTGAATATAAAAAGTTAGAGAAGAAATGGAAATATAAAACAATATTATTATTAATAAAATTTAAGAAATTGTACTTCAATATATTTTTTCCATAACTTAAATACCTTTTTTCTTAAAATACTCAAATAGCGATAATGCTAATTTGTTTTTTGTGAGAATCTTATGTATTAGCCTACCTTGCCCAACTCATCCTCCAGGGACGTGTGCTCCCCGGGTGAAATCGTGCTGGGCGTCGACGTGCCACTACAAGATCCGTTCACGCCTACCTCGTGCGGTAGCGTTATCGAGAGCGGTGAACATTCCTGCCGCCACAAGCTGCGAACTTCGCCGTCGTGTACCTGCGAATAGTGGCCAAAAGGAAGCATGTAAAATCGTGGATTGTGTGCACCTTGTGCACTAGTAAAAATTTATTCATGCACTTTATACAATGATTTATATTAAAAATCAAACGCGAAGTCGCTCGCATTTCTTAGGTAAATTTGTTTTTTACATACAATATAATTTATGTACAAAAATTGCATAAAAATTTACAGAAAAATGCACGACCTTGACTATGTATAAAGCACCTTCAATTTATTGCATTTTCTTAGAAAAAATGGTAATAAAAGGAAAATTAACAAGGAAGGCTAACAAAATTTAAATTGTTATGAAAATAAATATTTATGGGTATACTTTATATTTATGATCAAGGTATAATAATTTCTCTAACACAATTCTAAAAGTCATATGAATAAAAGAATTAAAATCTCTAAAAAAGAAGACCTAAATAAGCAAAAGCATTTGTTCTAAAGCATTTTAATATAAAATATGAATCAAAAGTATGTTCTACAATGCTATTGTTTTATTATATACAGTTATATTTTAATAGATACCTCTACTAATATCTAATCTTTTATTTACAAATAAATACTTCAACTATGTGCATATAAGCAAATACTGTAATATCCTTATTTATTTCTTACAGCATTTTCTGCGTTAATGAGAAAGAAAAGCATTTATTCCATTTGAATTGTATATAATATAATATGTTCATTTATATTCTTTAAAGTTTCCTTCGAAAAAGTAAAAGCGAAAGTGCTTTGTGTTTCGATTTATTCATATGACCGCATTGGATCAGAGCTCCGCGGGCAATTCGGCGGCGGACTCGCCAAATAGTTTCGCGAAGAAGTAGCTGTAGAGTGTGTGCAGGAGATGTAGCGATAGTGAAAAGGCCACGAGAGCGACGGTGAAACTAACCGCGCTGTGGATCTCTTGGGACCAACGCTTGTCGACACCGTCACTGGTGCTGTATCCACTGTCAACGTTGTGCCGTCGATGCGACCTCGTGTCCAACGTCGCATGACCTCTTGCATCCAGAGGTGCCCGTCGCGTTCGACCGCCTCTGGCCCTCTCGTGTTTCGCTGCCTGCCTCTCCAAGTACTTGAAAATGTGCGTTCGCCCGCGAATGCATAGCTGAAATCGACAGTAAGAACTTTAGCATATGAGACCAGTATTCTCGAAGGAAAGATGTCTCGCGTTTCCTTTGTTATCTTGTTGCCTTCCGGCAATGTACAGAATGATATTAAACGTTTTCGAACGGCGAGTGAATACTGATTCATGAATTCAATAAAGTCTCGAATTGAGTACGAAGCGAAAGGCATCGGTTTTGTAAGCAGTTCCGTAGGCAGTCTGTGATTGTGAAACGGCAGTTCAATTGAAGTAACATTGCGTACAGTTTTATTAGAAAAAATCCATCGAAGAAAGAACATAGGAATATGTATTGCGGAAAGGAGATTTAAGCGAAAACGGATGAATCATGATCTCACCGAGGCAGGCGGCGAGGTGAGCGGATTGTCGGATAATTTGAAATCCACCAAGCTCTTCATCTTCCTCATCTCGTTTGGAAGCACAGATATTCGATTACCGCTAATATCCAGCTTCACGAGCCTCAGGTACGTCAGTTCTATATAAAAATATAATTTAAAAACTTAATTTTTCGCATTTAATCATCAATCCTGAGATATTAATCTTTTTTGACAGATCAATCATAACTAATATCTTTAATATTTCTTTCAAATCTCTTTTCAAATTTTTTTTTAATTAACTTTTTTTTATTTTGCTTAACGAATAAATAAAAAGATTTATTTAGAATTAATTTATAAAGATTGACTTTCTCTCTTTCGCGAGCGTTGGCTTTGTTAAAATTAATTTATTTACAGTAACTTTTAAATTCTCAGTAGATTTTTGGCAAGATCTATTTCGCAAATACTTATTGAACAGATTGATTCAATATACGCAGATGGATTCAATTATTTCTTAATCGCGATTAAAGCAATGAAATTTATTCGAGCGTGATAAACATCTGTTGTATACATCGCGATCGCATTAAAAAGGTGGTCCTACCTATAGGCAGGTGCACCAGCAAGTTGCTCCTCAAGTCTAGAGACCGAAGTTGCGCAAGGTCGCCCATTCGAGGTGGAAGACTCGTGATTTCGTTACAACCTGCATCCAGTTCTGCCAATACTGTCATCCTGCCCAATTCATCTGGCAAAGATGCTAATCTGTTGTGTGCGACTAGCAACGTTTGAAGGGGTAGCCTGCATATCTCTCGAGGTAGCGACGTCAATTGGTTTCGACTGTGAATTATAATATCTTCTTTAAATAAATTCTTCGCTAAAATTATATTCGCAAGTTGAAACTTTTTTCAAACGGATAATCAATTATAGAAACATCAATTATTTAATTTTAGTAAATTATTTTAACAATTATGAACAATTTGTAGAATATTTCAGAAATGGAATTAATTTTTTTATAACAGAACGGCTCAAAAATTATTCGAAATATGTCTCTTTCATTGAAACTTTTTTAAATCAAAAGAATTATTTAATGAATAATTATAGTACATTCAATAATTAGTTATACAATTATAGTTAATCAATTAATCTTCCAATAACTTTCAAAGTGTTTTAAATTTTTAATTATAACTATGCTGCGCGCAGTCTAGCAGGAGCTTAACGTTATCAACGTCATATCACATAGGATGCCTGCGATACTGTATCGTGCAGTTCAATGTATGTGTGTGCGTGCGTGTGTGCGTGTGTGTGCGCGCGCGCGCGCGCGCGCGCGTGTGTGTGTGTGTGTGTGTGTGTTTATGAACCAACCTAAGATCGAGGTAGTTCAAGGATTGGAGCATTACGACGGTTTCCGGGATTATTCTTATGGCATTATGATAAAGATGCAGCTTTTCGAGGAATGAAAATTCTGTGACTTCCTCCGGTAACTCACTGAAACGATTCTTCGAAAGGTCTGTAACAGAAAACAGATACTCATCTTTATGATGTGCTAGACGATAAAGACATGATCGTCGCAACTTCCGCTATTAAAACGATAACGTAACATCAACAAGCGTCGCGTAATTTCAACAGGAAATTATAAATACGCGTTATAAATACATAAATGGGAAAAAAGTAAATTTTACGCTAAAACTGATTGCAATTAAGAGTTGTTTTACATTAAACTCCACATTCTCATTAAAACAGTTCACTGCATCGTAAAAGCATTGCTCAAGCAATAAACGACATCCCTATATTATATGATCGGCCGATAAAATTTGTTGAGGAGTGTAGGTATTATCGAACTGTCTTAATAAGATACCGATATGTCTCCCATGGCAACAGCTGTATACTTCGGCTAGGGTGGTCTTAGGGTGTTGCTGAGGGTTGTTATGAATGGGGCGCGACAGCCACGTGCGCGCAACGCAGGTTCGAAACCCAGGAAAAAGACAAGGGTAACTCAGCTACTCCTGGCTTCAAACCTTCTTTCTGATCAATAACAGCCGTCCTCGAGACTTACGGAACCGTTCGCGAAAGACGTAGCTAATTCGCATATCGAATAGTTCCGAAATAGCTATCGTTCTTTTAATCCAGACAGCACATATAAAAATGTCGCAAGCGTTTAATTATGCACGTAATCATATGAGATGTTACGAAATTGATATTTTATCTAAATTATTTGATAACTATATAACAATTGTTACTCCTTCTATATGTATTAAAATTTTTGTTTATTAAAATTTGACATAAAGTATTAAATTTAATCTTTCCTTAATTTTAAATATTTTTTCTTAGGCATATATATTTTTAATATCAAGAATGAAGGGCGTGGTCATTACACTCCTGCATGTATTTGACATTTAAATGACGGTCATAATAGTTAAAGATCTTCTAATAGTCTTAAAATACAAAAACCTTGATCTTAATATACAATGTCAACAGACTAATTGAAATGATAAAACAGACAATGTTTTATGAAGACATTTAATATTACATAATACTATATACTTTGTATTCTACGTATCTTTGTTCTTTTTTTCTATGATAGTATATCGGGGTGATTAATTTACGGAAATTTTCCAAATATACCCGAGCCTGCAGGGAGAAAATTAGATTCCATCGAATTCGTCGAACGATCAACGGAAATTGGCAATTGTCGCGTGCGAAAGATACGCGATTTCCTCTGACGACATCGAGAGTTAAGTTCAGCAATTTTCGTCGTTCATCATTCTTGTGAAATAAATAAAAAGCATTTGTTCACATACATTTTTATTACATTCGTGAATTACAATCAAAAATATCAAGTCAAGTAATAATTACTTCTACATTTATATAAAAAAATAAAATATTCAATAATTATAAGTAAAACAATATATTCATTCATACAAATTGATAATATTATGTCTATTTTTAAGTATTCTGTCTTTCTTCTCTATTATTTCTCTATTATTCTTCTCTATTATTTTCTCTTGTTGATACATATATAATTAGTGGAATCGCAGACTGCAATAACTCAATCTTGCGAATCGCGCTCGTAATTCACTATAGCATAAGACAATTCGTCTTCATTCATCGAAAAATATAGCAATTTACGCGGTTACAACCCGAGGGTGTGTCTTGACGAGTGTAACTTCGTTAATCGATCTCGATTCTTACATGCTGCGCGAACTAAGCGTATTGAAACCGAAGCAATTTAGATGGGGAAGAAATTCGAGGCGTGAATGGGAATGCATGAATAGGGATGCTTACAACACTTTCGTCTCTGGCAAAATATTAAATTTTTATTTTTTTTATTCGACGCTCAGTGCTGCAAATCAATATTTTAATAAAAAATTAAAACCGGCACAACCGAAATGTTGGACAATATTAAATAAATAAAATAATTATTATGTAAGATATTATATAGATTATATGTGTGTGTGTGTGTGTGTGTGTGTGTGTGTGTGTGTGTTATTTTTATTTATTTTCGGGAATTTATTATCGTAAAATCGACTTTCCTTTCGACAATTAATTTAAAGAAATTGTATTGAAAAAAACTTTCAACACTAAAAATATTAAAAAAAATTTTTTTTTATTTAAATACTTGCTTAAGTATTACAATTTGTTTAAGAATAAATATTTTTTATCTAATAAAAAGTCTGGTAGAATACGGTCGATGTCCATGGCGCAAGGGCGTCGGCCTGTCAGACGAAGACAGGCTGGAACCCCTTGCCAACCCCATGAACAACACCCACGCAATATTGGATTCTCTCTCGACACCGTCTCTTTGTGCAAAGTGGCAAAATTTTGCGGCGAACGATCGCGTCATCGACATAATATAGATATGGTGGTCCTCCGTTGTAGAATTCATTCCAACAACATATAACATGTCATCATAATTCATATATAGATTTAGAGATGTATATTCCTTTTCCTCTAGTTCTCTCTTTTGCGAGACAAAATTATCGGTGAAAACATGACAGACTGTACCAAGGAATACGAATTCTCGTCTCTGAATATTCTTTGATGTTCGTTAATGCACTAGAAGTCGGCAAAAAATCTATCTATTCTTCAAATTTTACTTACATTTTTTAAAAGTATTATTTGAAGAAAGATCACGGATAATGACTACTTTGTTTTTAGACAATATTTTTTAAACAAAAGCTAAAAATAAAACTTCAGGAACAAAATACAAACTAGAAAGTGTCTATTATCAGATAATATAGCAGTTTTTTATAATACCGTTTTTCATTTTGCTAAAGTTAATAATAAACTTCGTTGTAAGATAAGAAAAAATAAGCGTCTGATAAAATGGGACTCCAAAATTAAGATTTTTTTCACTTCAATATAAAACATATTTTGTTGATTATGCACACTTTGTGCTGTTCTGCAAGACGCAAATATGTAACGCGACAATTCCTTTCAAAGTTTTTCTACAAATATATGATTGCCTTCAGCTCTAATAGGACTATTTGGCTATTATAATTATAACGCAAGATTAAATTATGTGAAGATTAAATTATTTTAGTTTACAGACAGGTGTGCCGATTTACGCTGCACTCCTATTTTATATATTTAAAAATATATTACAAAAAAAATAAAAAATACATAAATAAAACTGATTTAGGAAATTACAAATATATAA